CGTTACTTTTTTTAACAATGCATTCTTTCATCGTGAAATTATATATTAATAATTTTTTTATATAAAATAATAAGTATATGTAGATGCATTTTTTTTACTCGTCGAATCAAAATTTGATTACCGAGAAATTGTTATTGAGAGAGAAATTAAATTTCAATTCTTAAAAAATTAATTGATTTTTTATTTAAGATTCGAAACATTCACAATTATTAGCAGAACGCTATAATCTTAACGCACTTTTAGAACATAAATATGTATAAGCGTATTAGTAGATCTATTAAATGAGCATGACGAATAAATACATTAAATATATATAAAAAATAATATAATGACAAATTGCATTTTAACGAGTATAAATTCGAAGGCTGTGCAGGATGTCGATCTCGATATAACTCGATCGGCGAGAAATCGAAAAAGAAATTCTCCTCTCCGCCTTCATCTATATTCATAGGGAACGAGTCCCGTTCGGTAATTAATAGTAGCAGCATGTCAGGCCGAAGCCGAGTCTCTGGAAATAATTAAAATCTCTTCGTTTTTCATCGCACCTGCGCGCGTCTGCGTCTGTCCGCGTAATCGCGCCGTTTCAGCGGCGAAATCGGGAGAAAAAAGGAGCGTTTACGTCGACAATTCATAATGCGGCGTCATTTCATCCTATTTAGAAACCGGTCGTCGCGCCAACGACTGTCCAGGCAGAAAGATATTAAAGCGATTTCCGTTCGCTCGCTAATTGCTCCTGGCATACCGAGAGTCGCGATGGAACATCTACTTAAGCTAGCATTCCGCGCGACAATCGTCTCGCGTGTAAAACGCCTCGTGCTTTCGCGCCCGGAAAAGTGCCGGCGATTAAATTATATAGTTATTATCTCTTTTTATATATCGCGATGTGCCACTTTTTATCTCGCGAGCAGACTCGATCTTGGCGCGCGATGAGAACTTGCTGGATAATGACATATACGCATACAGATTCTCTCCTCCTCTTTCTCTCTTTCTGCACTATAATTATGAATTATTAAAATTTATACTGCTGGAAATATTTTGTATTTAATTTGATTTTTTTTTTTTTCACAATTTTCTTTAATGACGGAATATCGAATTAATTGTCGATTTGGAATTTAACGTTTGTAAAATTTCGAAAATTTACATTTTACAAACGTGTGTCGAGATAAATAATTTCATGAACAAAAAAAAAGGAGACTCGAGTACGATGAAGCAAATGGTATTACTTATGAATTTTACTTATTATACCCTGCTTCGCCTTTCCTGTTCGTTTTATCGCTTAATACGTGTAAGAACGGTCATCAAGCTTGTTCCTAATTAGGAGCTCGGTTCCTCGGTACTTTTGAAGAGTCCGCCGAGACGCGTTTGCATCGGCCGAGACTTTCTTGCGACCGTAGCGGATAACTTTCTCGCCGTAAACGCTTCGATGCCGCTTCGTAAATTTCCTACGAAGTCGGAAACGGGATTTCGTCTCGATTCATCTTGCCGGCAATTACTGGCAACAGCACATGATCTGCGCTCTCGTTTACCGATGCGTCCGATTTATGGTGTTTCGACGCGATCATTTTATTTCTCTACGACATTTATCGAAACATGTTTCCGAAGCTCGTCTTGAAAAGCGTGCAAGTTGCATACATATGTATGCGTTACTCTTTTTTTTCAGTACAAGAAGTTAAATAATTTTTAAGATTAATAAGAAAATTGTATATGACTTTTTAACAAAGCTAAATGGAATATTAACGAGTAGAGAAGATAAGAAAAAGAATGAAAGCTGGATAATTGCTACGCAGAGAGAATTTCCTCTGAAAATCATGGTAATCATGGACAATTTGGTATTGCAAGAATTTTATAAGAATTTCTCTGATTAATATTTACCGCAATAAAAATAGTAATATCTACCACAATAAAATATCAAATATGTTGTATTTTACTATGTACATATTAATATTTTTTACTGTGATAAATATTAATCAGAGAAATTCTTATAAAACCTTTCCAATACCATATTGCGTCCATGATTACCATGATTTTCAGGACAAATTCTAAGAAAACATTCTCTCCGTGTACCGCACATTTGTGTTGTTTCGACATTTTTACCTTCAAATCTAGGATCAAAATTAGAAGAAAGATAACTTGATTTAATCCTCGAGACAATTTTCTCTGATTATCTGTAATCCACGACGGAGGACACGAATCCGAGCATCGGTACACCCGTCGAAACAGTGGTGGGCTCCCAATTAGGATAAGACCCGTTCCCTTAAATATATGTATAATGCCACCAGGACCTTTCTTTCTGCCGCGACTTGATTTTCGGTAGTGTCCTCGTCTTTCCCTTGTATAAATTAGTCCCAGCCGCCACATAATGGCGTGTCGATGCGCTACTGTCCACGGACAGTGCCCTCACTAAACCTATATCCTTTTGGTTTTTTAATCTCTGCCTTTTTCACTCTCTCCCTCTCGTCTCTCGGCACCTTTTAGGCCCGACTTTCTTCCGCGCTCACTCATCTCTCTTCCACTATACGTATTTGATCTTCCCTCCTGCCCGTTGAGTCGGCACCATCTCGTTTTCTTCATCGCTCGCCCACTCGTCAGACCAGGCTGTTTAATTTACGACCAATTAATTTGGATAAACCGAATGAGCGCAGAGAACCCTATTTTCGATACGCGCGTTAACCGTGAATATTCCTTCCTCCTCGCTCTTATCCCTTTTGATTCATTATGTGCGCTCGCCTGTTCTCTTTTGACCCTATTTGACAGGTGCAGCTGATTAACTCCTTAGCGCCGACAAAATTATTTTTTATTGAAGAAATTAGAATATTATTATCAAATGAATATTATTATCAATCAAATGAAAACGAGGACAAAATGTATGCAGAAATGTCAAATAGTAAATAAAATGCTGAAATTAAATTGTTAAGCGCATCATCTTTTCTGCTTCTCTTTTACATTCATTATTTTTATACCCGTACGTATTTATGTTCTTTTAATTTTTCGAAACAAATGTAACAAATTGAAATGAAGAGCTTGATGCAATTAACACATTATATAATTCAGTAAAATATTAAAAATCAAATTTTGTTTCATATTAAAAAGCCTTTTAATTTGAAGTTAATGCTCTAACAAAGTAGAAGCAAAAAAGATAGAAATCTATTGCTTCCCGTGTAATTAAGACGCAGTCGTTATTCCTATGTTGCGCGCCTCGCGTTTTATGAATCGCACTGGGTAGCGGCGTGACTATAAAGGTTACAAGGGTACAAGCTTCCGGAGAAGTGCGTGGAGAAGTCCGATGTCGTCGACGGACCTGCTTGGTATTCCGCTCCGGTCCGAGGGCATAATTGGACGCTAGCCGGCGACGCTCCTCCGCGTATCGCGAAGACAAGAAATTATTCTTTAATTAATTGTCAGCGCTCAATGTGGCCGTATGCGTAGAATCGGCCGGCTCGGTACATAAATTTCATCTATATGGGAGCGCCGACTCTCTGAGGTCGTGCCGAGAAGCGGAGGCGGTTGGCTGGCTTTGGAGAACACAAACAGGGTGGGAGAGTGGGAACCAGGAATCCCCGAACAGCTTCCGATTTACACGGGTAGTGAATATCTGGCGCCTGTTTGTAAAGCCTTTAACGATGAATCGTCGCTCTTAAAGGATCTCTTTGCGCTTTGCCACTTGTCGCACGTGACGCAATTGATTTCTGATGTGCTTGTTGCATATTCAATCTCTAATTTGATGGCATTAAGAAAGATTCGGTTCGTTAATTAAATGATAATTTTATGATCTCAAGATTTGAAGAGATCTACAGATGCCATGCAAATGATTATTTATTCTTTTTCTAGATAATTTGCTATATTATTCGAAACTTGTTTTTTTCATTTTATGCACTTAAATGGCATACCACAAAAATTATTGTCATAAAGACGAGCAAGAATTGCGATGGAAATTTTCAAGTAATTAGACTCATTCATATACTTGTTAAATCTTCTCATTTTTAGTGCTAAATAAAAGCAATTTTCAAGCTAAGCTCGTAAAAGTATAAAAAATGATCGAATGCAATTATTAATTTACTTTTAAATCACTCTATCCACTTAAATATCCCGTAATATTGGTGAACTCTGCATCGCGAATCGATGACGCCTTCGAATGTTGCGAGTTCAATAAAATGCCAAATTAATACAGCAATTATCGAGATGATCTCTTGGAAAGTCGCGCGTTGGCAAAAAAAATGTTGCAAGCTCCTACATTACATATATATGGCCATACACTGTAAAGTGAGAGGTGCACAGGTGCACACAGCCAAGACATGCACAAATATGATAACGACAAATGAGCGGCCGTCGTAGATATGCGTGTGTGTTGGGGTGCCTTTCTCTCTCTCTCTCTCTCTCTCTCTCTCTCTCTATATATATATATATATATATATATGTATATATTTTATAATTAGCCGCGGGTCTCCTCTCTTCGATAAATCAGCGCGCCGCCCAGGCTTAAGACTTAATTAAAAATTTAGTCAAAAACCAATTAGCAACCACGGTGGATTAACATATTTCTAATTATCTGGCGGACACTTTCGGCCGTCTTATACCATTGGATCGACTACTTGCCATATATGAAGCCGACCTGTCGATGACTGTGCGATATATTCGATCGTGGTTAGTTTCCTTTTTTTCGGTTTGCTTTGCCTCAATGCTACGGACGCTTCATTTGAACGGAAGTTATTAGTCAATTAGGTCATTGTATTATTTGCAAATTGGTTAATTGCAACGTTGAAAAATTGCTGGACGTCTATTCGTAGCGTTAATTCTTTTGACTAAAGTTTCGAGAAAATTGTTACTCTTTATCCAGTTTTTTAAATATAAATTGTAATCTAAATAAATTTAATTAATTTCAATATTTAAGAGAATTTGAAAAAATAAAGCTTGCTTTTTATCGTATACCACACATTGATTGTCTGTATAATAATAAAAAAAAATTACAGTTTATATTCAAGGATTGAAAAATCGGCGGAACGTAAATACTGAAATCATTTTTATTTCGCTATAATATACCTTCATGAATAAATTATCATCTTACATTTATACAAGGCGCATATAGGTACGTCTAGAACCATGCCACATTCGTAACTTCAGTATTTACTTACGAACGATTCCATCTCTTCTTCGATTCACACAATTGATACAAGCTGATACTTAATTGCGTATGCTTGCATCACATTTTCTCACGTAGAAAAAATGCAACAAGTCTGAAAGACATCAGGATTAAGTGAATTGCAAGCGGTATTTGCCAATGAAAAATCATTGCTTGATTTAATAATAGCTATGAAAAATAACGTCACGCTAATATTCCTAATATAATTTTTGAAAATATATTTCAAATGTAGCAACTTGATGTTTTATGATAAACAAAATTTGTTTGGAAATATTTTTTTAATGTGAAATTATTTTTAACGAGAAAATTTTGACTTTAATAATAAAGTTTTTCAATGCTCTCAGACTCGTAATTATTTAAACGTACCTCGTTTACATCACTGCACTTTCAGCCGGTCCATATTTAAAACAAATCCTGAAACGAATGTTTGCTAGATCCAGCGCGGTCCAAATCGTTAAACTAACTCTCGAACGCTCGCTCCTCTCGATTCCTCCTTCTGATAATGAGAGTAATCGAAGCGTCCTGTACACGTGTGTATATACATACGTACACCCATAATTACCGTACGAACGCATATCTATTTACACTATATACACTCATATTTTCTTTTGAGATCAAAGCTTAGAGCGTCTTTCGAGACGCCGATATATTCCATCGTTCAGCAAAAAAATATAATGTTCTTTTTAAGTTAGAAAATTTTTTAAGTAGAAATGTTTCAATGATAAACTTTTGGTTTAATATTTAAAAAAAAAAATTAAGTTATCTATATGTTGATTATCTTTAGAGAGAAATAAGACATTTTTGAATTGACGCTAATTGCAATTTCGACTTTCAATGCTAAATGATTGGAATTTTTGGAGTTCTTGTAATCTCGAATTTTAAAATTATTATTCTTGCTTTCTTCAATTCCTTCAGAATGCAATTCTTCAGTTCCTCGATCACCAACTTTATCTGCATCCTCACTTTTCCCATTCGTTAATTCGCAAAGTTGTGGCTTTGCAAATTTGTAAGTTACTAAATTTTGGATTTTCGTATTCTTGAATTAATCAGAGAAACAGTTTCTGTCTCTTGTAACTCCTTAATCTTTGGATCCCTCTCGTGTTCTCTCACAGATCTTACACCATCGAGTTCTTATTTTACGAATAGGTTGCCAAATCTTTAGGCGAACGCGTCAAGAATTGATTTTCAATCGCACGTGTATATAATATTCCGACGTATATTATTAAGGTCGGTGTCCCGGCGGTCCCATGAACATGGCCGCCGCCGCCGCGGCATGAGTATGCCTAGCCATAGCAGCTGCAATGAAGGGAGGCACTCCTGGGGTACCAGGCGGGCCCACCCCAGAAAACATAAGTCCCGACCCGAAACTGGGATGCAGAAGGGGTCTCGCGGATAGTCTTAGTTTCTCTATTTCCGCTTCCTGAAGCCTCTTCGCCTTAGCTCTTCGATTTTGAAACCAGATCTTCACCTGGAACATAACGGTGTTCATAGAGTGGAGATGATAATGAATAAAGTCGATACCGCAACATGAACCGAATTTGCTGCCTTTCACTTCAAATGCAATTGTGTCAAAATAAGTTGTTAAATATTTCACATTTTTGTGACGTTGATAGTGAAAGAAAAATGTTAAGTATTTTCAGAGCATTATATATATTACAGTTTCGACAATATTTCCAAATAAAAGTGAATTTAAGTTAATAACAAGTTAGAGTATTATGTAATATGTTATGACTGTTATCGTAACTGGTCTTCTATATAATAATTAATATACTCAGATATGTGGTTTTTTTAGAAAAATATTGTTAATAATATTCTAGAGAACTTTTCGATTTTAAGATGCTTTTGAATTTATATCACATCAAGATCCGTTAGAAATTAAAGATTTCGGTTTCTAGGGATGAAAATAGAATATAATATCGAGTATATAATTATATTTATTCGTATATAACTTAAATGATAAGTTTAAAGGATAAGTCTCCCATGACTGTTTTAAAGGTTTTAGATATGAAAAATGATGTGAAAATTAATTTTATATGAAAAATAGTTTCCGAAAATCAGAGCAATTTCTGAATTTTCTTCCCTTAAGTCGTTTAAGTTACAAAGAAAATATCGTCTTGATGGGTATCAAGTAATGTGAGAATTCATAGATTCTACTATATGTGTTGCGTTGTATCAATATACTTTGCAAACATTATATAAGTGCTACGCTATTATTAGTCGACGTCGCGTTTAACACTAACGGGATTTATAATTGGCAAACAACACACATCTATCCATCTGTGAACGTAATTAATAAAATGAATAATCTAATAATTAACACTCTGAGCAACCTACAATATGTGGACATGATAATCGGTAAATAAAAATTCCTGCGCAAAAAAGCATGTTAGCATCATTAGACACAAAGTAGTTAGTGAAGAACATAAACTTCTGGCAAGAAATTATCGAAGTATCGAGAAATTTTCGATGTCATAAGACACGCGTTGTAACAGTCGAATTTGCATACAACCGAATCGAATTGACGTTAAATTGCGTTTAATTATTATTTGTACAGCCGTTTACGGATTCCGTCGTTTGCGCAACTGTCACTTTGAATCGACTAATTTACAGTATTTCGTTATAAAAATGTAGGTATAGAAACCAGATGATTTCAATATTCAGATTATGAAATTATTTTGCGCCTCGATAAGCGCACATTGTCTATATAACACGCATAAAAAGCTCCAATATATGATAATTAATATATTCAGATGTGTGTTTTAGAAAAATATTGCTAATATATTCAGTCTAGAAAACTTTTCAATTTTATGATGCTTTTGAATTAAATGAACTTTATATCACATCAAGCTCCAATAGAAGTGAAAGATTTTGGCTTATAGGAATGAAAATAGAATATAATATCGAATTATATCATTCATAATTTAAAGGATAAGTCTCCCATAAATGCTACTATAGAAATGTATCAACCGTCTGTCAACTTCTCTCTTCATAAAAATCGCTCTGTTCATAAAAATCGCATATAACCACGCACGAAGTGATAAATTATTTCATAAGACCATGGAGATGAATGTCGCCGCGAATATCACGATTTGAATTGTAGACATACCTCTTTGTCCGAGGTGAATAATGAGAGGAGAGAGCACAGTCGAAGGAACGGTTTATAGCGGCTTAAGCGACACGAGGAGATGGCGAGGTAATCGTAGCTTATCTAAGCAAATGAATGCGATGTAGCTTCATTTCGACTGATGCATTGTAATGAACGCGTAAAGTGTATCTTAGCACGCTAATAACGTGCGATAACGTAGTCTGTTGCACATATGGCAAAAAAGGACGATAGTAAAAAAAAAATACAGAAAATAATGAATAAAATATATGTATATCTATGTAAAAAATTTGCAACTTATTTTTCTCAGATGTGTGTATAAAGACATATAAATATTAACTGGAAAAATTGCATTTTTTTAGCTTTGAAAGCAAACTCGTCTCACTAAAATATTCAATATTTAATAAAATCAATATACTTAATGAATTGCATCGATTTTTATTAATTGCACACTTGACAATCGAAGAATATGTTCCGTTTTAATATATCAATCGATATTTAATATCAATTTGAAATGTGTCAATACATGTGCGCATTGTCTTTTTACTCGATTTATATTATAATATATGTCGGATATATATATATATATATATATATATAAGAGCAAATATATATTTTTTCGTACGCTTAATATTATATGTAATTAACTGTCCTAAGCTAATTTACTTGCGGCTTTTGGTGTCAAATAAACTCGCATGAACGTCATGATTGTTCATCTTTTTCTTAGCGAACGTTTTAAATATATTTCTCCGAAATATCATTATACGTAAAATGAGACTTCTTCAGGGCCAAAAGAATTAATTGCTTTCATGTCTCACCTGTGTTTCCGTAAGGTGAAGGGACGATGAGAATTCTGCCCTTTCGGCTATCGTCAGGTACTGTTTCTCGCGAAACTTTTTCTCGAGCGATAACAGCTGCTGCGTCGTGAAGGGCGTTCTTGGCTTTCGGTTTGGCTTGTGCTTTCTGAGGGTGCATCTGACCGGACCTGGTCCAGGTCCCGGCAGTCTTAAGTCCCCTGAAACCAAAGGAGAGATGTGTTTAAATAGGGCTTCCTATCTTTATACAATAAAATTTACTTATACTGTCATCGAATGAAAAAACATCCGCGGAAAAATTTTGATTCAAATATAAAGATTTAATAAAAATCTATCCATACCGTAAAGTAAATATTTGATAATATAAAATATTTCTCAATTAAGCGGGAGAGGAGTTTAATTTATTTTATAAAAATAATGGAAAATTTTTATTAGAAAATTACTCGATATATACATATATATATATCATGGTTTAAATCTCGCTCATTTTTAGTAGATTGAGCCGGTATTTGCGATGTGAAAAAGTACAAAAAGAGATGGATTAAAATAACATTACTCTGCCGTATATTACTTTGCTATTTATGCATCATTAGAGAGAAAGAGAGAGAATCAGAAAAATGATAATAACGACATCCGCGGATATTTGTATTCGTTTACTATTAAAATGTCAGTCCACCATCTTCGTGCACTTATCGAGTGATAATAAACGTTGAATGTGCAACGTTGGTTGTTAATTTACGACAACGATTAGGTAAAATGCTTTTCATAGGTTTCGCGAGATGAAGCGATTACGGTCTCACGACGAGGGTGCAAATTAAATCATAAAAAACCAATTGCGCTTGAATGTTCAGAGCAAACGGCGCCTAATTATCATCGACCTATCGTCCCAGTCTCGTGCATCCGGCATGCATGATTATCATCGACCGTCGTTGTTTATGACGCGTGCAATTAACTGATACTGCATAAAATCTTGCCACTTTTTCACGATAATGTAATTATACATTGGCAGCAGTTCGCACATTCTCCTTCGTTTCATTTATATAAATTCATTTTCCAAAAGCTAAAAATAATGTAATAATTATCCACAAAGTGAGTATAACAATAAAGGCTTATAATATATTATTACGCTACCAACATTTTTCTGTCAGACTATAATCATTAATATCCAATATGACATATTTGAAGAACCACGCACAATTGACCAAACGAACGCTATTGACGCGTTAAGAATCACAGTTGCTAATAAATCCTTTTAACGCGTGCGCGTTCTGCAATTAGAAATATTATTTCCAATCCCCATAATTCTACTCTCCGACACATTCGGAATAAGCATCTCATATTATAAGAGTATGAGTAATTGATATCTCGATGGAAGCGAAGCTACGTCAGCTAGATGCGCGGTTACATCGCTTGATTTTGTACGGCCGCATGTTGTGGCACCGTGAAAAAGTGTTTTTCGACATCCAGCTCGACGGGAACGATGACGATTTCACGACGACGAGGAGGACACGCGTGGATTCCGCGCGCTAATTAACGATCGCTCGTGTACAAAAAAGGCACGGGCCGCCGGCATTGTCGACCTGATCAGTCGAGACACCGGTATTACGTCTTCCATTCGCGTTTGCTGCACCGCTCGTTTCGCGTGTGTTGGGAGAGGCAGGCGGCTTGACGCACGTAACCGATCAATATGTTCTCCCTGGAGGCTAATTAATTTCTGCTAATTAAATACTTATTCAGACGGATCGAAGGTAGCAGGATCTGCTCACACCGCTTTCTTCCTTCGAGAACAACGTATATGGACCGTGACAACATCACACGACGCGATCTTTTGTACTAAATATTCTACTAATGGAATTTTATTGCCTTTTCTAGTGACACTTCATGCTCGAGCTAATATAAGGGTGTCAGGAATTACTATTTCAAGTCGCTCAACTAATTAATTACAACTTTAGAATTACAATGTTATTTATCTTACCGTGAAAAAGAGATGTTTTATTCAAGTATCAAACATGTATGGAAAAATAATATATAACATATAAAATATTATATGAATTCATATATAATATTCAGTGAATAATATTGTTGCATGAGAAAACACAATGTGAGATATAAAAGTATTCTACGTATAAATATAAATTTGTTCTACATTTATATCACGGAGAGAATTTTCTTTTAAAATTTACCCTGAAAATTATGGTAATCGTGGGACAATGTGGTGTTGGAAAAATTTTATAAGAGTTTCTCTGATTAATATTTACCACAATAAAAAATATTAATAGGTACATAGTAAAATTAATCGAGTATATTTTATATCTTATTGTGGTAGATATTAATATTTTTATTGTGGTAAGAGAAAATTGTTTCTGTGTAAAAATGTGAAAATATTAAACAATTGACAATGTGGCAGCCCGTTCCATTTGCGTCCGCGCGCTTGCGTAAAATATCCCTAATGTGTGTTTGAGTTTACAAAAGAAAATACGTAAGAAGATACCCGCAAATCTGCGCTCAACCAGACAATCTGTCGTTACGTCGACGTCCCTTCCATTCACACGGTAACATAGCCATTTCATGTCGCTCGCCAAAGTTAGCCATGCCGCGCATGTAAACGATCAATATGTTCTTCTTGACTGCTAATTAATTTCTGTTAATTACCCGATCGCTGAAACACGCACGGGAATAAGTACGTCGGCTATAATGACCGCTATAATTGGCTAATAGTTATACGATTCGTATTCCTTCGACTCTACGTTGTACATTTTTTGGGGTAATCAAATGCAACGATAAAGATTGCCTCAAATTGTTGAGATAAAATATCAACCGCGTTCAGCCTAATTAAAAATGTATACAGACTTTGTATAATTGAACGGCACAAGTTGCTGTATCAGAATTATAAATTTTAAATTCACTATAATGTATACAATATTATTTATATTATATAATGCAAAAAACTTGATTTTGTTAAAATTAGTAAAAAATACCGAGCCATTAAATAAAAAAAAAAAAAAAATTACGCGAATATTTATACAAAATTTCCAAAGATAATTACATTAGTTTCGTCAACGGATGCTGGGGTTTTTGGAGATGCCGAGGAAAGACCGCGCGGCCAGCAACATCGTTGGAACGACTGAGGCGGGTAATTACGTCCACGGAATGATGAATCGTCCAAAATACTTTGTAGAACATCATTGGACGCGGGGCGGGCGTCGTTAATTCATTCTTGCGCGTGCAATCCAGATAAATGCGTACGAGCAGCGACGTTCGAGCGTTATAAATGATGTTCGTATTCATAATTTTCGAAAGCCGTCGTCCAGACTCGGGCATTATCAACTTTATGAGAGCCTCGCGTATCATAATCGCGCTAATCATTGTTAGAGGACTAGTGAAAACTGATTAACAAACTTTTTTCTGTTTAATCATCATGAGCGAAGTGTGACTCGAAAAATAATATAGAAATATTACTTGTGAAAATTATTATTACAACTGGTTCTAAATTTCTTTGTAAAATATCGTAGATGATATATGATCATTCTTCGGTGGTTAAAAGCTGATTCGCGTCGCTTAAAATTTTTGGTAAAAAATACCGAAGACTAACGAGAGACGTCATAATTAGCCGAGTTCCCTATAAGCGAACAATCATCTCGGAGCAAAAGCAACAATGTTGCAAATGCAATAATCGTGAGTAAGAACAATAATGACGCGTACCGGGTTGCTTCGGCTTCCGTTTTGAGTGCTGGTAATTGGTGTCGTGCATCACAGCAGTGAAAAAAAGACGAGGAAGACAAATCGTAAGAGAAAAGGCATAGAGGCGAGATCGGAAGACCGAAAAGCGAATGGTTTGTCGTTAAAAAAACTTCGTCAAGAAGTCGCGCAGGAAGCTGAAGCTGCGCTATACTAAACCTAACAGGCCACCTTAACAAGAGCAGTTTTTATCTCTCTTGAATGCATTATGGATGTTGTGAGTTATGTATGACTCTATCATGTCGAACTGTTCGCGATCTCGGTTAGCGCGCGGGCTGATCCACCTTCGTCAACTTTCCATTTTCTGTCAGTAACATCTGCAGAATAAGACACTCTTTCTCCCTTTCCTTCTGTGCGAGAGAGCACAGCGTGTAATACCCTTATATGTTTACATCACAGAAAGAAAAAGAGTGTTTCAATTGTGTTTTTCCTCAAATAATTTTTTGAAAAATCTTCTCATTCTTCAATTTTGTTCCTTTATATTAAATATTTTAAAAAATCTTAGTTTTGTTGTAGTTGTAAATTATGTAAACGCGATCTATTTAATAATTCAAAGTTTTGAACGATAAAAAAGTTTTAGTAGTTATTTATATTAATTGTACTCTTATTAATTGCGAGAGATTTTTCCAATATTTTTCCTTCCTCTAATTAATATCTATGTTGCTACTCTCGAGTATTATAAGCGTTATTTTCAATTATGCCATTTTAGAAGCTGAGGTAATGCAAACAACAGTTGCTTTTATATGTTTATATCAGTTCTATGCTTGTGTGTTTTTTCAATGTTTTCTCTTTTTCGACGTTTATATCAGTTTTATGCTTGTGTGTTTTTTCAATGTTTTCTCTTTTTCGATGTTATGTTGCTTTCCATCAAGTGGTGTGCAATAATTTTAATCATGTCACTTTAAAAAACGTAAAAACTTCATTCTATTTAAATTTTCCTAAATCTATTTAATAATTCTCTTTCGTTATAATAATGTTTATGATGAATTCTATTAATTTGGCAATTATAAAAGAAGCTTCGCAGAAATGAATTACGATAGAAAAGGATCAGAAAGGACTTTTGAAGATGCAGCTATAGTGGTTTATTCTTCGAAGACGATCCTCGTTAAAAATCGTAGTTGTAAATAACGTCGCGAATCTCGAAGTTACCGCAAGAGAGATTATATCCGCGCGTAATGAGGAATTCACGCTGTTTCCGAGAAAGAAATCTCTAAAACCATTACGAGCTCTCTCGGCGAGCATAAGAGTTGACGCGCGAGTAGCGAAGCTAGGCACGAGGAGCACTCTTGTCCTTTTGCAGTCTCGTGAGTACTCGAATACTCGAGGCAGAGTACTTTGAACAGAGCCAAGATGCAGCTCGTTGCGCAGAAGGTGTCGGTTACACCTTAATGAGGTATTACTTTAATTGTCCATTAGGGAAGGATTTTGTCATGTAGTAATGTTCATGAGTCCTTTGCTTACACGAGGACACGAGTCTTTGCACTTCAACGTCTTTCTCCGTTAAAGGAATCTTCCATTTGCTTGGACAAATGATAATAACTGTGGCTCAAAGAAATAATTAATATGGATAAGTAATTTACGGTTCAAACATTGTCATCATAATTGATATTGTGTCTTGATTCATAAACATCTCGAGATCTTAGACAAATAAATTAATACATCTTGTCATAATTTCGTATTGAACAAATACAACTCAGCTCTATAGTGTATATATTTTCTTCAATTCATGTAATATATTTTGCTTACCGCAATATTAGAGCTTTTTTGAACAATTACTACAATTGATAAGAAAAAAGAGCGAGCAGCCTCGCAATCAGTAATTAATAAATCGCAACTAATTTCTCTCGTTCGAGTTATCATAAGTTACTTATCAATGAAGTGTGTTTCGATAGGTAGCACAACGTTTAATATACAACGGCGTCTAATTATCACGACTTGAAACCTACGCGGCTACGACTTTCCTTCCTTCGATTTATTAGCCAATTACAATCCATATATTCGCCGATCATGAAACAAGATCTGTATCTGTATGTCTGATCATTTTTGTATTTGCCTCAAGAATCACGCTGCAGTTGCTTTCACGGTTTCTCCTTCCCTCATTAGACATCGAACTTTATCTACGCGATCAATTTTTCGTTTGCATTGTTACACCGTCATTTTTACATCGCACCAAAAGAGACGAAAAATATCTCTCGTCGCTGATCGTGCGTCCTAATAGCCTAGATGTACGACGATCGAGTCCGACGCACAATCGTATACCGAACTTTCCGCACCGATCGTACGCGATCGGTTTCAAGGAGCCGGTTGCAAGCCGTAGAGACTCGAGTTCCGCGTGACATTTGTGGAATAGAATCAGGAAAGTCAGTGTGAGGCCTTAATGACCGAGTTGCAACCCTGTCGACGTCAACGAGTAGAAGGAAAATCGCGACTTCGATGGCTGCACGCGTGTAACTATACTCGATAAGTGAATGATATTAAAATTCTAATAGTTCTTGAAATCAATAGCCAACGTATATATACTCACGGTAATTTCTGTTCAGAGACAATGTTAAATAGTGATATTAGAGAAAGTATTTGACAATATTTTTACTTGATGAAAAGTAGCTTCGAGAAAATATCACATAAAATGAAGTAATTTCGAGTGGCTCAAAAATTAGACAATATAATCATTTGAGAATAAATTAATAGTTATTAATACAAAAGTTTATTCATAATTATATATAAACATTATATAAAAATTAAATAGTTAACTAATTAACGTTTATTTATTAATGATTATAGGATATAATAATTATATATTCGCAGAAACAAATTATTCCAAATTAAAAATTCTAAGTGAGAGAAATAAAGATTATAACAATTATAATCAGTAATTTAATCAAAGTTTAGATTGAATTAAAATTGACAAGATTATATAATACATAATAATATAAAATATACAGGTAGGTTCTTAAATACCATAACATATGATAATGAATTTAAATATAAAACCCAAGTATTACCCATTAAATATTTATTTATTGTGCCACGTGCTAGAATTCTAATATTTTATCATTAATCTTGCGACATTATTCTCATTAAATCTTTCCGCTCGAAAAATCATCTGCTAAGGCAAAGATATCTTGTCATGATATTATGCGCGATGCTAGTTTTAAAATCTGAAATTTTTCTCAGATTTAAGCTTTAATCGCGTGTGTAATAAAGGTAAAGTAGAGTACGAATTTTTTAGCACATAAGACCGATAATATCCGCTTATTCGCGTGACTCATGACATTATCACAGAACATTATGACTCTCTATGCGTGTCATACATTCTCCATAAGAGTCTGCGTTCTCCGTCTAATCACCGACAATGTAATCGTACGGTCTGAAGGTAAAGAAAAGAAAAATATAGTGAAATTACTGCTCGCATTCTTTTCCAAGAATGACATTTTTTTAAGTTAAGTTTGTTTTTATTTCAGAGAATATTTCTCTTTGTATACGGATGGTTATTAAGATATTAAAATAAGACACACAATTTTAATTAAATGACAATTGCGATTCAACATATTCCTATTTCCTCCGAAAGATATTTGAGAAACATTTGTTTAAAATTTATAGCGATATCATTATCATATAAATCACATAAATATAAAAATGTAAATTTTTCATTTTAGCATAAAAAACAAAAATGAAATTTCGCATAATTTAAAATACGACAGTCGAATAACGAATGAGTATCGAATTACTAGGTAGGTACTAGACTTACCGTTCGGACTAGTAGGCCCGCCGTGCGGCGTGTAAAGATGTCCATGAGGATTGTGCGGATGTGGGGGTGGGGGTAGCCACGCGAACCCCGCCAGAGAATGTGGAAATCCCGCGGGGTTCCAGCCGGGAGCACCGGGTGCTCCGGCGAGATATGGCGGCCCTTGCGAGGGCCTTTGCACTCCGGGATGAATCGGCTGAGGCACTACCGGACTGGACTTCTCCTCCTTCTCTTGACCGGCCTCGAGATCCCTCTCCAGCTCGCAATCCGAATCCATCACGTTCAGATCCTCGGACTGGCCGACGCTTCTTATTTCATGATCCTCGAGGTCCAGATGATCCGTCGTTCGGTCACCTTCCAGCGAGCGATTCGCTTCGGAGTCGCTACGATCGTCCAGGATCTCCCGTCTGCTCGCAGGCGACACGGATCTCGGATTGGTGATCCTGTCGATCCTCTCGTCGTCCTCCTGAATACGCTCCTGTTCTCGCTGGAGCATCGTTTCGCCGATCGCGCTCGGCGAGCTGGTCGTCAGTCGATGATCGTCGCGGTCCTTCGGGATCTCCTGATCTATCCTGATGGGCGAGGACGACTTGTCATGGCTTGTTCTAGAGAAATCTTTCACCGTGAGCATCTCGTGACGAGCGGGCGCGTGATCCTGATCGAGCCTGCTCGGATGATGATGATGATGATGATGATGATGATGATTGCCGAAGCCGGCAAGCCCGTGTGGGCTCAGCCTGGCGAGCAATTCTCTGCTCTGAAGCCTCTGCTGCTCCATCAGCAGCTCACGATATCTACTCTCCATCTCGAGACTCTTCTCCGCGTCCATCCTGTCATCGTTCTCTCGCCTAGCCGCGAAGGCGCCGCCGCTGATGGCACTTTTCTTCGTGCCGCTCAGCAGGGCGTCGACACTGAAGCTGATCTTGCCACTTCGCGGTTTCAGATTCGAGGATGCTGACGTCGGAGTAGCCATGTCGACGTCCTCGCACAGACGATCGTTGCCGGAACCCGGACCCGTTACCACGCCTTCGCCGTTACTCATGCCGATTCTAACGCGCACCGGTTTCTTCGAGATTTTACGTCTCGCTACTATCCGCGATTTTATTGCAGCTACACTCCGAAGTCATTCGAAGACGCAGTTAAAAAGAACGTCCGACCGCTGTCTAAGTTCCATGCTGTAAAGTCCATTACATCGCAACCTCTAGCAGAACTCGAAACAATAAGCGACGCGATCCCAAGTGTCAGCTGATGATCGCTGCATTAGTTTCCTTTTTTCACGTATGACTGTTAAAGAACGATGGTGTGTTGACGCGATCGAGTCACGCGGCACTTTCGGGCGACGATCAGTTACATCGCGATTCCTGGACGAATCTCTTCGAGTAATGCTTCGAAGATGCTCTCTAGATACAGTCCGTCGCCTCAACAAGTCCCATGCTCCGTTATTCTTGGAATCCGCCGCATCGCCGCGGAATGACCCAGCCGACACGAGCGGATTCCCCCATTAAAGTCAGAAGAGTGTTTTTAAGATATCAACATGATGACCCAACTCTTCTTGTCCCTTAACTTTTATATCTTTCGCATCCCGACCGATCTTTAGCCGATAATTCGTATACAGCAACTTTCTTTTCACGATACTTTACGGTCTTTTCTCAGGCAGCGCTTAATGAGACTGTATACAAACATTTGAATCACACTTCTTAAATGAAATATGCAGGATCAAATCTGCGCCGCGCATTATTCGTTTTTATTAAAAATTATATTGCGTGGACAATATCGTCGATTTTACGTTGACAGTTTCTGTCATCATATATATATATATTTCTATTATACAAATGTGAGTGATTATTATTTTTTTGTGCGCCTATATCCCGCAAAAGATATTTTCTAGCATTGTATTTTCTTGTTCTAAATTCAGCTTCTTCGTGATGTGATATGTACATACGATGCACTTGATGCTCCGTCGTCTATTTCACCATTAGATTTTAAATGTCATTCTTGGATAATAATGTCATTATTAATAATCGACGAACTAGATCTTTGGAAGCTTTAGGTCTCAAGAAGAATGAAATATTGATTTTCAACGTTAATCGAGAGATCCGTCGGCCGTCGCTGGCATCAACATATTCTTCCACGCATTCGAGAGTATTGAACGCCCGGCGTCGTCCGACATATACGATCTCGAGTTCTCCTTCGGCACTCTTGACTTTTCTGTCAAAATTCGGACTCTTCGTACACCGACGACGTCGACGATCGGACTTCGCGACGGTTCACCAGGACGGTCAAACACGTACTCCAGCTTATGTCACACGACGGAAGAAGGGATAAGGCGGGATAGTACCGGTGATCTTCCCGGAAAAGAAACGATGACCGTCAGTGCTGATGGAGTACAAATGTAATCGGGTGTAATCTGTGTAATCTGCCGCGTGGTGACCGCCACTGCCGCGGAAACGGCACTGATTACCAGCTCGGCTGCACTCGCGGCGGAGAGCCCTGCCGGGGCCCATTCTCCCCCTTTCTCACTCTGTCTCTCTCTCGCTCCCGTCATCTCGCTCGCTCACTCCCTTTCTTTTCTCGTTCTCGGTGTCGCGGTGTCGTCGCCGCCCCCGCAACGTTTGCAGAACCGGTACCGCGGTCTGGTCTCGACCAATACGTGCGAGCCGACGCACATCTCGGGTGTTTTGCGAGTGGGCGTTCTTCTTGGTTGAACGCGGACCAATAGCGACCAACGGGATGAATCGGAAGCCAAAGGGGTGCCCCTTCTTCTTCCGGTTTGCCGAAGCCGCTAGATGGAGCTGGTTACACACATCACCCCGACATCAGCTCTCTCTTCGAGGAAGTCTCCAGGTGGTGGGGAACCGAGTACGGTCGATGTGGAACGTGGTGGACGTGGTGGGACATGGCGCGGGACCGAGCGGAACGTGACGACTCCTAATTGTCTAATTCCCGGGCGCGCAATGCGCGAATTGATTGGCAATACGGGTGCACGTGGCTGTGTGCATGCTGAGCGCATGCTGGGAGAACGGCAACCCTCTCGCGTTTATTCGACTACCGGGATCGCGCACGGTCCGCGCGATTCCTCTCGTTCAGCTTTCGCGAGAGCGCGAGTAAAGGCTAATCTAGGATTTACGATAATGGTGATATGCACGACCTCGACGTCGATCATATTTACCTATCAGCGAGATTGGCGGGCGTGCCAAAACATGTGACTGGAGAATTTCATTTTGACAGTCCGCTCTTTGATTGTCTATACACATTTTTGCTCTCGTAACATAATATGGGGGAATATCGAGAAGCAGGGGTTGATTTCAAAAATGCGCTGTTCAAGATATATTCAAATATTGCGCTAATTATTTATGGGGTAGTAAACGTATCGAGAAACAAAAATTGATTTCGAAAATGTGCCGCACAAGATATATAAATATTTCTGTAATTATTTATGGGGTAGTAAATATATCGAGAAACAAGGGTTGATTTCGAAAATGTGCCGCTCAAGATATACAAATATTTCTGTAATTATTTATGGGATAGTAAATATATCGAGAAACAGGGGTTGATTTCGAAAATGCGCTGCTCAAGATATACAAATATTTCTGTAATTATTTATGGGGTAGTAAATATATCGAGAAACAGAAGTTGATTTCGAATATGCGCTGCTCAAGATATACAAATATTTCTGTAATTATTTATGGGGTAGTAAATATATCGAGAAACAGGAATTGATTTCGAATATGCGCTGCTCAAGATATACAAATATTTCTCTAATTATTTATGGGGTAGTAAATTGTCCTTCCTGATACGTTACATCATTAACTTATCCCTTGTTCTGTGCATAAACAATTATAAAAATAATGATTAAAAAAGAAAAATATTCATAGGATACTTTCTTTGATAAAAGGGGTGGATTGCTCCAATCCACTTCTTGCTAACGTTCCGTTCACAGAGCCGGCATATTGAATCTCCGGTCCAAAAGAAGGGAGCACAGTAATGCAGCGAAGGTGGGGAAGCACCCGCAACACACACGCGCGATTCTCGCGAGGAAAGAGGTGTATCAGAAGGCGGGAGAAAGGAGAAAGAGAGAATTGAGCCGTCAAGCATAGGGGTTTTTGCTGTTTGCCAGTTGCGAATAGGGCTAAGAAGGCCTTGGGCAACCCGTATACGTGTTCTCGTTGTGTCTTATGATGCTCTTTACGATGTTCTCCTTCGAGTTGCGTGGTGACGTATTTAACAAACAAATTTTTTATTAAAGATCAATATAAGGAGACATTAAATTAGAATAAACTTTCTACAATTATATTATAAGAAAATTTTGCAGAGATTTTTAAATATCAATATAATTATGTTTGAAAGTTAAAAATAAGAGATCACATGCCGTAATCTATTCAACAGTAAAAACTACCCTTACGAATATCATTTATTATTCGACATAAAATTAAACAATTTGAAAAAAATAAATTTCTAAATTTTATTGTGTTCATCACTCGAATTGCTCTTCTCAGGAATATTGTATATGTTAGCCTTACGCGAAATTCTCTACCTCGGTGGGACAGGATTAATCAACCTTGTCTGTCCAAACTCTCACCTAGTACTACTACTCTAGTACAATACGTTCAATCTACACAATCGCGACAATGTCGGTTCGTCGACCAACTTGACCAGCGATACTTTATTATCGGGTGAATAATCCGGATCACTAATCCGATTGGCGAATATCGTGACGACAATAATGACAAGTGACAACCTTCGGTGTGAACAACATCCCGTGGAGACGCAGAAGAATGATCGACAGGATGAACTCGATTATCTTGGAGATTTGGACTCGCTTTTTTGAAAATCTAGATCCGATTTCAAAACTAAAAAGACTAACAAATAGTTCGCCGGCTGTGACTGTTGACGTTTCCGTCGAAATGCTTTTGCCATCAAGCTATTGTCATTTTTCTCGCCCTGAACGTTTTATCACACCTGCGAGAATGTTTAAACACGATGTGAAATAGAATTGCGGAGTCAATTAAGACGCGCCGTTGCACCGAAGTGTTGACGCTAATTAGACGATAGAACAGCTGAGATAGTTTAAACGGCAAGCGATTTAGTTTTGGTAAACTATCACGAGTTTAAAATTTAATTTTAATGTATTACATACCCTTACATAACAGTTAATTTATTTTTTAATTTAGTGTACAATTCAATTCAGATTATTCGAAATTATGAAGTTTATTAAAATTACTAAAAGAAAAAAAAATATTATACATATATATTAAGTACGTCATTTGGAATTTCAATATTATAAATATGATAGCACAGACAACCTTATTCTACAAAATAATATTAATACACGAGTTTTTAAATCCAATAATTTTTTTAGATATGTATTGCACTTGAAGTTATATAAGTAAACGAAAAAGATTTAATTTTATACAAAATTATATGACAATTAAAAATAAATGTTTTTAAAAATCGATGATTAAATATTATAATAAGACATAAATATTTGTTGTGTTTTTCTTTCTCTTTTCTCTCTATTTTATGTATATATATATATATATATATATATATATATTTTAATTCATAAATAATTCAAAAAACTAATTCCTTCATGATTATGCGATATAACTTGCTCGCCTTAATATTAGCTTATATTGCTCATTTTTGTATCTTTTAATAATTACCTGTCACAAATCACATATATATATATATATATATATATATATATATATATATATACATATATATTTGTCTGTCTGCTTTTGTAAATTACCAGCACCGTGACGAGCAAAATGCATGCGTTTGCGCGCGCGCAAGAGGGGATGTGTCCCGGACGATTTGCACATTAACGGGGAATAAACGACACCGAAATACAGCGTGGACGCGCGATCGCCATAATAGGAGCACCGAGTAGTCTATTAAGCGTCCTCAAAACCAGTTAGTGAGTCGGCAATCCAGTTTAGGTACAAAATGGCTGTCGTTTAGTGAGGATTAATGGTCTCGAGAGTGCCCCGGGGCAGCATAATGGGGCAGATGCGTTCTGGATGAGGGGAACAACCCTCTCTGATCTCTCCTCCCCGCCATTTATATCTCGACAACCTCCGCACGCCACCCTGTCTCCTTGTACCTTACTCCACCCCTCTTGTGGCCTCGTTATGTACATCTATCTGACTATACAGGCTCCATTATGCCCTTTTTGTGATGTTCCACGTACGCCGGTATAAATACGCGATATCTGTGCACTTATATACGTACCGGCACTTCGAAATTACAACCCTCAACATTGCATGAATAACAGAAAATTATATTAGATATTTTCATTTTTTTTTTTTTTTAATCGAGATAGATGGTTAAAAGACAAAAGATTTTAATTCATAAATAATTCAAAAAACTAATTCCTTCATAATTATGCGATATAACTTGCTCGCCTTAATATTAGCTTATATTGCTCATCTTTGTATCTTTTAATAATTCCCTGTCACAAATCACAAAACTGTGCATTAATGTGCAATACTTTCATCGCCAAATTAAGTTTGCTTCATTAAAAATTAATTACTGCTTTTGATTCTATTATATACGTACCGGCACTTCGAAATTACAACCCTCAACATTGCATGAATAACAGAAAATTATATTAGATATTTTCATTTTTTTTTTTTTTAAATCAAGATAGATGGTTAAAAGACAAAAGATTTTAATTCATAAATAATTCGAAAAACTAATTCCTTCATGATTATGCGATACAACTTGCTCGCCTTAATATTATTGTAGCTTATATTGCTCATCTTTGTATCTTTTAATAATTCCCTGTCACAAATCACAAAACTGTGCATTAATGTGCAATACTTTCATCGCCAAATTAAGTTTGCTTCATTAAAAATTAATTACTGCTTTTGATTCTATTATCTTCTTTACTTTCTAAGTATCCCTGAGCATCTCTCATTATGTATACTTTCCATAATCTCATTTGAGTTTATTCCGAGGGATGGTACGATCCCGTTTTGTGCGCGGGAATGTGTGAATGCAACGCATACGCAGAACTCACCTAGGGGTTCGAGCTTCATATCTGGGCGCCCAAAGCGCCGTTTAGTTTGGCGTTTCATGGTCGAATAACTCCCCTCTTGTGCCGTCTACCGATGCCGTTTCGGTGCTCCTGAGAAAGCAGTAAGTAGTCATTTTGAAATCGACTCCGGATGCGAATAAGCGCGAGAGTATATGTATGTGTGAGTGCGGGTGCGTGTGTGTTGTGTGTTCGCCACCGAGAATCGAATCTCGTCGGCTTTTGTCGAGGCCGCCCTAGAGACGCGTTGACAGAGATT